CCAGGGTCTTAAAGCATAGCGCCACCAGCTAACTTCTGATTGGTTCCTTGTCACAAGACAGGCATCTGACCTCTAAGTGACCAAGGCAGGTTTATGGCAAGCACGTGTTCGGCTGTTATGGCTGCCAAAAGGGAAGCCGGTTCCTTCACTAGTTTTTTAAAACTGGCTCCTCTTCTTGGTTCCATGCTGGTTTGTGTTTTCCTTTGGCCTACATGCTGAGTGCTCTCAGAACGGCACGTGCGTTTTCTAGGTGTTCTCTGCCTTTGTTCTTTTTATCTGAACCTTATCACAAACATGTTGGGATCATCATCTTTTCATCCTAAACTAGCACCTGTTTTGTGCTATGTGATCTTATTTGGTGACATCACCGGCTTCTATCACCTAAGCCAAAAGTGACCCCTCTCCCCTTACCCCATAGCCATTCCTCATGTCCTGGTGATTTTTGTTTTTCCTAAACTTAAGCTTTGGCTTTTAGTTTCTCCTTCCTGCACTTGGTAAATGGGGGACTCTTGTTTTCCTGTCTAAATGCTCTGCCTCCTGGTTGCAGGGTATTGTGTTGACGATACAGAACTTTCTAAATGCTCGTGTAATTTTCATCGTTTACATAGAGGCCGAGCTCTTCAGTGTGCCGTGTAAAGCACGCTAGGATCTTGCCTGCTGTACGTAATTGAGCTCCTGTCTCACCACTTTTGCTGTGGGCGTGGCACTGTGGCAGCAATGAGCTGTCCTTATTATGCACATTAAGCTCTTGCTTGGATTATGCCACCAGCTTATGTGCTGGACTCTTCTCCTGAGCTTCTGTTAGTTCACATCCATCATTTCTCTGAGACTGTTGCACTTCCTGTGAACTAGTCTGCTTTCTTACATATTTGTTCTCTCACTCCTCTTCCTACCCACTTGCCTAGGTAGACCTCCAGAGATTCTGATCCGATCATTCAGTCTTCTCCCTTGAAACTTGCTGATTCCTGATGTCTTAATGATTTGGACCTGTCCACCGTGCTTTCCTCCACTTCCCACCTTTCATCCTTCTGTAATTATTCAGTGCTCCTTGTTAGTCAGCCTCTCCAGCTGTACCACCTGCCTGTTCTCTTGGGCATGAATTAGATGGATCTTTCATCTGTGGAAAGCTGCTTATAATTTCCTGTCCATTGTTATGGAACTTCATGCTGTTGAGCAAGTTGTTTCCACTCTAGCCTTTCTTCCCTATCTGTGTCTGCTTTCTGATTCGTTGTCCTTCCTGGTTTGTCACATAACCCTTCCTATTTCTGTGGACCTTAGAGGTACTGCCACTTTAAACACAGTCTTTACATTTAATTGCAATTGCTTACTTTTTACATCTGTCTTCCTTGGCACAGCATAACCTTTATGTTGCTTTTGCTCATTGTCTAAGTACATATAGTTATTTTTGTGAGCTTGTTGAATGAGCATTTGAATGCATGAAATGGAGAGCCATGTGAACATCATATATAACCAGTCCACCAGAGAGCCTGATAGTTGGGAAGGATTGTTAGTGCTGACATTTAGAACACAGACTTTCAGTTGAGGCCCATATATTTATGGAGAGGATTCTGATTGAGTTGATAGCATTGCAGTTTTATTTTGCTTTGTTTCTGCAGTTCTAGGAACTCAATGCAGGGCATCATAGGCACATGTTCTGTATCCCACCTACCTCCTGGGCCCTGCATTTCAGTATTTATTTTGGTCCCTGATTGTATTTGGTACCTGTTTCTATGAAGCCTCATCAGTTTCTGGGACCTAATTCCTCATGTGTATCTGGATATCTTGAGGTAGTCCTAGGGGCAGTTCTGTGAACATTATAAAACACTTTGAGGAAGGGCTGACTGGACATGCAGTGTGCTTTCTTTCCTTGGTGATTCCACAGACCTGCTCACAAACCCATCAGTTTCACCCACATCAAGTTCAGCTGTACAATAGAAGCACTGCACTTAGTAGATTAAGATATCTAACCTTTATAATACAAACCAAGTTTCTTTAATTAAACATTAGAGAGGACATTGAAGCTGTATTTATAATTATACATCCTAGGTTTTACATAATTTCAGACTGAAAAAAAGTGCAAAATCTACTACCCAAGAAACCCAAGGAGTTAAAAAAAGTATTAGGTTTTTGAGAATTGAATAATTCTATTCACCCTGCTCCCCCAGTTCTCCCTATTCCTAGGTCTTCCCCATTTTCCACATCCACCCAACTTGGTGTTTTTTTTTTTTTTTTTTTTTTTTTTTTTTTCTTTAACCCATCAAAGACCAAATTGTGCTGCCCAAATATTCTTGTGTGTGGCTTTCCACATGAGCATGGTCAACTTACCAGGGGGTGTACTTTTAGAAAAAATTGATTTTTCTCCCAGTAGCTAACAATTGCTGATAGACCCATGACAGGGTAACGTGTGTCCAACTCCTATCTCCATTAATGGGGTTTGGTCTGGCTTGGGCTTGCACTGATTTTTGTGCATACCATTGCAACTGCTCTGAGTGCAGCTGCGCAGCTGCCCCACTGTGTCCAGAAGACAATGTTTCCTTATAGTCATCCACTACCTCTGGCTCTTTCCTACCCCACTTCTGCAGTGATCCATGGGAAGAAGGTGGTATACATGTTCCTTATAGGGCTAAGCTGTCTGTACATTCTTGTGCCTTGACCATGTCTTATTGCATTTATTTGTTTATTATCTGTGCATGAGTGTGAGACAGTGTATATGTGTATATATAGGCATGATTGAGCTATGGTATGTGTAGGTACGTCAGAGCACAACTTGGAGGAGTTGGTTCTCCTCATATGTCATGCAGATCCTAAGGATTAAACTCATCTGTCTCAGCAGCAAGCACTTTGACCCACTGAGCCCAGAAGCTCATGGTTTTTAATGGCTAGAAGGAAAATAAAATTTGAAGGATTTGTTCTTGCATTCTGTCATATTGTGGGCAATTTTGTATTTTGTGTTTTTGCTGCATTTTAAGTTATTCAAAAGCATTAGCAAAGGATTACATGAATTATCCTTAATTTCAGTAATCAAATAAATATGATCAACAAATTAAATGTTATTTGGAAGGGCATTTAGTTGTTTTCTTCTAAGAGACATTAGCATTCATTTACTGTTCTAAATGGTTAGATGTTTTCTTGAACAAAAGATAGTTCATCATACAAATACCTGTAATTTTTTTCATAAATGGTCCAAATTTATAGTACCTTTACATAAAAATATAAAACCAAAATTATATTTAACTATCTATCCTATATGGATTAAAAACAGTAATTTTTCAAAACAGAGATGAGGAATTGTATTTAACCTCTGAATTTTTTCTAAAATAAAATGCAATTATTTTTTAAAATGGACTTTACAATGATGCCACAGAGTGACACAGTATTAATGCATGTTTAGGATCCAAACTCTCTCAGTTTTCTAACAAACTATATGCAGAATTTATGAGGAGAATCGATACTGTGAGATACTTGGGGTGCAGTGAGCTTTTAAGACCCATTCTTTTACCGCAGAAAGCCGTCAAATGGCATATTGCTTGCCTTTGGTTAGCGTTTTATATGGCATCTCCTATTTAGATACAGCCAGTGTCACTCTGAAGATAAAATTACAACCACTTGGGTCCTCTAGTTCTGATTAGAATGTTCTTGTGCTTTGGAGAAAGCATTCCTGCTTAGTTTAAATATTCAGACTAATTTCCCACCAGGATCACCTCTTCTTTTCTCTTGCAACGCCCAAGCCTCCTGTTTGCACCAGGCTTGCTGTCTGCCCCGGATGACTAATCGTCATGGCACCTGGTGCATTCAGGCAGTCCTGTGCAGCGGAATCGTCATCCCTAGTTATGTCTGCACACCTGATGTTTTATTAACCAGTATTGATTTTTTTACCCAGGGGACTTTTTTTTCCTGAAAAAAGGCAACCTTGCAGGAGTGAAAGGCATTGCAGGGGATGAATTTCTAATGAGCCCCCTTCCCCTTTTGTGGCTCCTCTTTAATGTAGCTTCGTATTTTAAGTGCCGGAATTGAAATTTCATTTTTTAGCAATCCTATTTTGATAAATCCTTTCAAATCTTGACTTTCTGTAAGGTTATTTTTTAAAGATTGTGCTGCTTGACTGAAATGCTTAGTAGTGCCTATGAATTTGAGCATTTCATTATAGGCTGCAATGAAGCATGCTCGCATGCAGTGAAATACAGAGGATTCTGGACTATTTGAGTAATGCTTAGAGAAATGAAAAGGAAGAAAAATCTCATGTCGTATTTCAGGTAGTCCTTAAGTTTCTTCTGGCTTGTTTAGGATCAGTACAAAAGAATAAAGAAACAGTGGGATGTATGAACCAGCCTGATATCATAAAATGAATATGTAGCTCAGCAGTTACTTAGTGACAGGAAAGGATTATTTTTGCATTGGAATATAAACATTTATGCTCAGTGTTATGTTGTACCATTTACAGAGATATCTTGAAACTGATGATACAAGAGCATCTGAGGTTTTTCATTCCTCAATATGGCAAGGAATTTTCCATTCAGAAACAATTCTTTATTGTTGTTAAGCATTTCCCCCCCATTGGACTGAAATGCTGACCTATATTTCCACAGTTAACTTAAATTAGGGAGTTTCTTAATCATTTCCTCTCACTTTGGGTTCAGCTGTAGCATGGTTTAGCTTTTACTGCTGCATTTTTAATTTACTGCCTCAGTCCATCAGGCATTGTGTACAGAATGCACACACACCATTAGTTGTCAGTAGATGAGGGTCCTCATGAGTCATTTTGACAGCTGGCTTGCACTATCACGGTAAATAGGCCTGGTTCTGTCATTTCCCCCAAGCTGGAAGCATGCCTTTTTTTAAGGAATTCGTATCTTCCAAGATATTGCAGATGACTATGCATTAAGTGTTTTCACTTTGAAAAGGTTTATATTAACTGTATACTAATACCCTGTGTGGTCATTAATTGCCCTTTCTGCTTTTGTTACAGTTTTTGGCACTGGGTACACATTATGGCAAGGTTTATTTACTTGATGTCCAGGGAAACATCACTCAGAAGTTTGATGTAGTAAGTATGTGGTGTAAAATAATATACATGTTAAATATCATGCTAAAAATTGTGATTTTTTTAACAGTTGAATAACATAAAAAGATATTAATTAAATTAGAGTGCCAAGAGTACAGTCTAAAATTTATAGTATATGCCTCAAGTTTTAAAGATGAACTAGAGAAAGATCTCTGTAGATACAAGTATACATATATTATTTTGACTAATGTGTTTGTACTTATATACTATTTGTATAAGTTTACGTAACTGCTGTTACATACAAAACAAGTGTTTTGGTTCATTATAGGCATTCATTTGACTTTAAATGGAGCATTAAAATAATATAAATGTGTATATATATTTAATTGGCAGCACTGAATGCCTTAATCAGTGGTTCTCAACCTTCCTAATGCTGCATCCCTTTAATACAGTTCCTCATGTTGTGGTGATCCCCAGCCATAACATTAATTTTGTTGCTACTTCATAACTAATTTTCAAATGAATCATAATGTAAATATCTTCTATCCAGAATATTTGATATTTGACCTCCAAAGGGGTTGCAACCCACAGGTTAAGAACCACTGGTTTAGATGAACTGTTATTAAAACAAAAATATCCTGGAATAATGCTAATTTGCATGCTTCGGAGTTTGTGGGATCCTTTGTGCGTGAACCTCTCTCTACTGTCTGAATTGTCTTGCCATCTCATTGAGTTGCCAAATGTGATTGAAGCTTGACTAATTGTGTTGGTGGATCAGTTTATCTCTTCTAGAGTATACAGTTCAGATATTTTATGTGAATGATTATAGGCTTACTTGATTGGGACTTTTGGTATCAAGGATGAAGGATATGTTACATTTGAAGTTTGATTTTTGTGTTTAGTGTACACCTTAAAGATATTGGTAACTTCTATTTTTTTGTGTGACTTTGAAAATGTAGGGTGAAAAGATGATTATTTTGCCAGGGGTTGATGTTAAGCTCTTTTAGATCTACTTATTTTATTTTTTGTATATGAGTATTTTGTCTGCATGTATATTTGTGTGCCACCTGTGTCCCTGGTGCATGAAGAAGTCAGAAGAGGGGCTTGGATCCCCTGGAACTAGAGTTATAGAATATTGTGAGCTACCACGTGCATGCTGTGAATTGAACCCAGGTGTTCTGCAAAAGCCGCAAGTACTTTTAGCTGCTCAGCCATCTCTCTAGTGGGGTCGGGGGAGGAATGACAGATATTAAATACCAATAGCAAAAACTCTCAGCTCTTATTGTAAGTCCTATTAAGGACACTGCAGTTTCTAAATCCAATATGTGATACATGAGAGGAAAAGGAATGCAGCATCCAGAAAGGGAAGTGTGCCCTCTCATTGTAGTGCTCCTTCAGGGCAACTGTATTTTTTGTTTTCTGTTTTCTCTTAATCGTCCTATTTTGGCAAGAGGAATGTATTCTTTACTCTTGCTCCTCTATTAATTCAGACACTGGCTGTACATATTGGTGATCTAAGTCATTGGTCTTTACACTGTGATTTGTTAACATGAAAATGCACATGAGTAGTATCCTCCTCCCTCCCTCCCTCCCTCCCTCTCTCTCTCTCTCTCTCTCTCTCTCTCTCTCTCTCTCTCTGTGTGTGTGTGTGTGTGTGTGTGTTTCACATTCTCAAGAATGCATGGGGTGAAGTGAGGTGCTGGAACATTACACATGACTTTCCAACTTTAAAAAGAAGTTTGCCTGAGCAGTCTCTTAAGTCTTTAATATGCATTGTTTAGGACTTTTATGTTTACTGTGAGGTTTATAGTCATATACTTTTGTTCTGTTCAACATGTGCCTTGAGTTCTGTCTTCTGTGAATCAGTGGCATGTTAGCTATGTCCTCCATCCATCAGTTTTTAGGTTATTAATTATCTCACCCATAAGATTATCTGAATTTCTGGTTTTGAGCCCTCTGACTTCTGACATCTTTGAAAACGAAGCTTCTATGGTGTTTGTTGCTTTGTTTGTTTTTACCTCTCTTTTGGTAGATGAAGAATGATTTGATGCAATTTTTCTTTATTTGTTTATTCTCTCCAAGAAATTTGATAGTCTGCGCTGGAAACATTACTTGTGCAAGGGCTTGCCTTCTTATTGGTGTTTGTCATATTAGAATTTTAAGTGTCAAATTTCAGATGGTCATTATCTTTTGGAAGAAATGCTAATATCATGTTGTATTTCCTTTTTCCTCTGCTTCTAATATGGTTGATTTGTAAGGCTCAGTGTGCCTCTTCTTTTAAAGGCTGCCCTTTGATTTTGGAACCATTTTTTAGCACTTAAATTTCTTCAAATTAATTGCCAAATTTTACACTGTTCTGTATTTTTTTTAGAGAGAGAGTCTCACTCAGTAGTCCCCCACCCGGACTCTGTGTACTTCTATGTGTTATAGGAGGGCCAGGGGGAGGGCTGTAGCTCCTCCTGGAGTGCTGGAGTTGTAGGTAGCAGTCCAGCCTCTGGCCATGGTTGCCATAGTTATTCTAGAACCTTTCTCTTCATTAGGAAGATAATAAGAGAAAAGCAAAGATTTTTAAGAAGTTAGCTAGTATCTTTGCTTGATTTTTACCTGTAAGTAAAAATTAATATAAACAAATTAATATCAGACAAAACAATAATTCGTTATACCTCAAGAAATGCATTTTCAACCTCTTCATTGCATTGGTACTTCTGATTTCGGTGGTGGTGACCTGTTGGCTGAGAATGAAAGTATGAAGGAATCATTTCTAAAAATGTGTCTAAGGTGATTTGACCTGGATAGTGCCATTATTCCAGAAGCTAACTTTCTCTTACCTGTGTAATATAAGAAAAGAAAACTGAAAAACTCCTTCTGTATTTTAAAAGTAATATTGCTTCTGCCATTAATACCTCAAGAAGAATAATGTTGGTGGAATCTACTAAAGCTGAGCAAGACTGCCTGATAACCCAACAGTTGCACTTGCAAGAAGTTCATTTCGAAGAAAAATGCATGTAGCACAGACGTCCATAAAACTGTATGTAAGCAATGGCTTAATTCATGACAGCCTCCAAATGGAAGAAACCCAAATGTCCACTTATAGTAGAAATGGATATGTACACTGTGCTGTGTTCTGAGCAACAAAATGAACAGATTGTTAGTACATGCATACAGTGGCCAATGAAGCAGATAACCAGTGTTTGAATTCCTGTTTGGAATATTTGATTATAAAATACCATTATACTTTCTCTTAAATGACCCTCATTTTCCTGTAACATTCATTTAAAATTTACCATCAAAGTACTTACTTTAAACAATGATCACATTGCTGTGTCATTTCTGTGTTGAAAATTTTAGAGCATTATGTCACATCAGATAGGTTTTTTTTTTTTTTTTTTTTTTTCTGGTTTTTCAAGACAGGCTGTCTCTGTGGCTTTGGAGGCTGTCCTGGAACTAGCTCTTGTAGACCAGGCTGGTCTTGAACTCACAGAGATCCTCCTGCCTCTGCCTCCCGAGTACTGGGATTAAAGGTGTATGCCACCACCACCCGGCAAGTATTTTTTTTTTTTTTACATGTTAGTAAAAATGCAAAGACTCCATTAATCAAACCACATTTCTATTGTTTGCCAAATTTTTATGTTTTTCTTTCTCTATCAGAAGTAGGAAGTGACAAGGTTTTACTGTGTTGTGTCATGGGAAGAGATGTTAGATTAATACTTTAGCAAAACATAATTATTGAAGAAAAGGATAAAAAATGTAAACAAGAACTTTAGGCATTTTGTTTGTCAAGATTGACAGCATTTTTCAATGAGGTAAGGATTTTACTTGAATTCAGGTAGTCTGTTGGTATTTCTAATTGCTTTTCATTTAGGGTTAAATTAACAGCTTTTGGTCCACAGTTCCCAATCTTTGGAACTCTTCATGTTCCAACTACTAATGTTCCAACACTAATGAAAATCCATCTTCAAAACTTAACTAGTTTGAAATTTTTGTTTTTCGAGACAGGGTTTTTCTATATATCCCTGGCTGTCCTGGAATTGTCTCTGTAGAACAACCTGGCCTTAAACTCAGAGATCTGCCTGCCTCTGCCTCCCAAGTGCTAGGATTAAAGGCCTGCCAGTGCCCAGCTGAAAATAGCCCCCTGCCAGGAAAATAGATGAAGATTATATCAAGTTAAATTAGTCAAACTCAGAAAACAAATGTTGTATATTTTATCATATTGAAATAGATTTAAATAAAAAATCCATAGGACTTGAAAGCATAAGGGAGTGTATTTGGAAACAGGAAAGTGACCAATGAGAAAGGGTAGAAGAACAAGAGAGGGGGAATGGTGGGGTTGACTGTGTGCTGGCACAGCCAATCTGATGGGAACAGTAAAAGTTATAAAGCCAGCACAGCTGCTTGACAATGATCCAGCAAAGCTGAGCTGAATGATGACCGCCGTGCCACCGCTGGTTTTTATCTCTACCTTTTGCATGCTTGTACTTTTAATATTTGTACAGTTTGGGAATATTGGATTAATGGAAAATGTCTTATGAATCATTTATGCCTTTTCCCAGGAATACTGCTTCTAAGCTTCTCCAGGACAGTCCTGAGCACACACTTTTCCCCCCACTTTAGAGAGACATCCTTATCTACTTGAAGGTCTTCCTTACTCCTTGGATGCAGTGACACACATGTTTGGGCAGCCATGTTATTGAGATTTTATAAGTATACCTTCCCCTGGAAATCTATAGAACATCTAACAGCCAGGTTACCAGGCATACAAATTGTTGGTAAAGGTTGTTCAAGAGACTCTCAAAACACTATAGGCCATTGCTATTGCTCTTGCTTGTTCTCCAGAGGTGGAAGGTAAGCCCATTACTGAAGACACCATGATCTTCAGATATGAGGGTCAGAGGTTGCCTGTAACTGTCCTGAAAGCCTTCTCCTTGAGGATTAGATTTTATGGTGCCAGAAGGCACCATGCAAGCTTCAAAGGAAGGAAGCAACCAGTAGTCATATATAGCTATGATACCTATGATCCACAGAAGCAATCAACACAGCATGAT